CCAGATTTGTCACGTGCGACGTGCGCTCGCGTACGCTTACCATCCGGCGAAATCAGAGCGCCACGAGAGCGCTCGAATATAGGAAATTCACATTTGAAAAATGGATCGTACCTCTTCCGACGAGCTAGCTAGCGCTTATCGAGATCCATTCGATCAACAAGTTCGAAAATTCAATCAGATATCTACAAGTACCGAATCCATCCATACAATGGTTAACATGTTTTCTATCGCGCCCTGCTTTCGTAAAACACTGATTTTGAAATAATTAGTGAACTCTCAATCGCGATAAAAGTGGGATAAAATATGATTTTGCAATATTTTATAAATAATTATGGTCATACACACACACACACACACACATTCAATTTACAATTAATTATGATCAAAGATAATTATAGCTCATAAAGAGATCAATAAATCATTATAAATTCATTAAAAATGTATAAATACGCTTCACCAATCAATGTAAAATTATAAGCTAACAATGATAAATTTTATTATTGAAAAATATTGTATTCGTAATATATACTAATATTGTATATTGATTTAACAGAAAAAAAACTTCGATTAAAGACTCCATTTATTATCGTTATTTTCGATATGAAATTTTTGCAGTAATGTTTAAAATTTGTTTTGGAAATTGTATAATATTGCTCGTGTATAATTTCGAATGGTTATAAATTTTAGTAAAATGCAAATGTCAAAGTTCACACATATATACTATTTCAATATTAACAAATTTCACAATATATCGAAATTTTATTAGAGTATTTCAGCGAGCGAGTTTTTTTTCATTTACGAGCCTTTTGATCAATTTGGATTTGTGTGTGATTCCGTATAATTAACGAAATACTCGAATATATACGTATTATACTTGTATATATCAGTATTATTATAAATATTCGTATATTATATTTTTTTTTGCTTTTTTTTGATCGATGATTTCACTATCGGCCACGCTTTCACGCATTATGAGGTGCGTAGAAAGCAACTTGTTAGTGTAACGAGAAAACCGTCATCCTCAGGGGAATTGTTCAGAGAAACGAGCGGCCGTACTGTAATTAATCGATGCGTTTACTCGGACTCAGCTCGCCGGACATGAGGGTGTGATTGTGTGAATATGTGTATCCCACAGTACGTAGTACTGTACCCATATGACCGTAATATCCGGAAAAGCTAATTTATCATTTATATGACAAATGGTACTGAAAATATTTCCGCGCTCTCCGCGTTAGCTGCCTCAATATGTTTTCAATATAAACTTAATAGATACAAAGCGAAAATCAACGTGGCTTGTTAATTCTATAAAATAGTTAGCACGGGAGAGTTAACTCTTTGGACGATCGAAAATAATTTCGGTTTGGATCGCGACGGATTGAAGCGGACGTTTGCGATTAAGCATCGTTCTTTTTATTGGACGATAAACGATTCGCTATTTTATATCGGCAATAAAAGCTTTGATATAAATATAAAACAATAGTCACTGTAATTACCTCTATCCATTTTGAAACTTTGCGCAAAGTGTTTTCCCTATTGTTACGAACAAAATATATCGGGCATTTTGTTTTTCATTTGACATTACTAATATTGTTTGACGCAATAAAATTAATCTTTATTGTTTGCAGTACAAAGTTTGAAAAATATGTATTTATTTTTGGAAATTTATATTCCACACGTTTGTAGCTTTTGCAAAAATATGTGTGAAATTGTTGCCAGTCACTATGTCAGTTCTATTTCAATATACGATTGCGGGATATTTGCTTTTACGTACCGCTTCCTAGTTAAATTTTTCAAAACAAATATAAACGAGATGCTATATTAACGAGAGAAATCGATCAAAAAATTTCGATCAAAAAATAATAATAATAATAAATCCGTGATTTTGAAAACTAGGCGAAAGATAGATTCTATTTTACTTTGAATATAAATTCGCAGATACCTGTGCCCTCAATATAGAGTTCATAGATAGATACAGGTTTCCTCCAAATTTATGAGAGTAATGTTTTATATCCTGATTTACGAGTACAATATTTTCCAAGAAGCGCGCGCGTCATCGACCGATTTTGTCTTCTCGAGACTTTTATGTGTCTGACATTCCGTAAATTTCTAAGACGGAAGTGAATTTAAATTAGAGTAGAAATCAGACTCGTCATTACAAGCGAAGACTCGTAAAACATAGAAATGAGCGTAAAGCACAAACGCGTTCCATTTTGTATCCTCTTATGCGTCTCCTCGTTTCATCTGATCTCTTTGTGCTCCTCTTACAGACGTTCGGAATTTACGCAAAGCTGACGAGGGACGAAAGGAGTAACGATGTTTCGACACCATGGTGTTTCGCGACAGAGTAACGCGTCTTCGTGTATACCGAAGAGATTGATGGATGATATGTAAGGTAATTGGAGAGAGTCCGTGTAATAGCTTGCAGCAAACAATAGCGTCTCAAGCTCGGTGCAAGTCAAATTCAAATTCTTTTGTTTATCGAATAAAACTATAGAGAACATATTTCTTAAAAATAAAACAATGAATAATAAGGCTTTTTTTATTTTATAGGTTGTTTTAATTAAAGTTTAATAGCAATTTTAAACTCTTTTACTTATCTCTAAATCATAAAGACTGTATTTGTTAAAAAAGAAATTATAAATGATAAGGTTTTTTTATTCTGACGATGAACCGCGCGTTTATCTGGTTAGAGAACTATGTAAATACAAGAATAGTATTGTTGAGAAAAGCGAAAAATTCAAATAGATTTAAAAATTTAGTTTCTTTTAATGCATCAACAAATATAGAGACGTTTCACAAATATTTAAAGAATATTTTAAATTTTAGTTTTCTCTGCAGATGTTAGATACGTCACAATAAAAAACGTGAAGGACGATTCTATGAATTATTATGGGAATTTCTATTTTAACTTACTCAAATTTCATCGACAACTTTAATTTACGAACACTAATTATTATGACATTTTTAATATTAAAAAATCCTAGAAAATTGTTAAAAATATTACTAAAAATGAGGCATATTGATTCGATGCATTTCGTGTGACAAGACGGAGTTTCGTGAAAAGAAATCTCAGAGAATTATAGCCTTTAATTGATCGATGTTAAATTACTACTCGCCGTACACGCGACTTCGATGTTTATTTTATCCGCGGCACATCATTGCGAGAGATTGTTAATAGAAACTTTTTTCAACGGTCTGTTTCCGATATGGTAAGTAGTAACGCCACGTCAAATCGCGTGTATAGTGACTGATGTAAATCTGCAATGAAAATTGCCACACGACAGTTTACAGTTGTCTCGCGTCAAACATGGGAGCTTCACCGTTTACCATACTTGAAGCGCGATACTGCAAAAATTCCTGAATTTCGTGCCGGCGAGACAGACAGTGTGGATTTCAATATTCGCTCGTCGCACGTGTTTCGAACAAGGCTCACTCGAGGCTTGAGTCGACAGAAATTTTTATCATTCTAACAGCTTAATCGGGGCTTGCAGGGAGAAAATTTTACAGTACAAATAAGATACATGAAAAATATTTTCTTTTTTACATTTGTTGTAAAGCTGGAATATAATGATATTAAGATATTTATTATTTCTAAAATTGAAAATTATGTATTGGTATTATTGTTTGTTAACAAATATGCATTTGTTTGTGCATCCAAATATTTGACTAACTACAATACTCCTTTGTGTATTATAAAATATAATACGTACATAATATTACTGATAATATCGCGTGATTTCTTTTATACGTTAGTATGTTCCATGATTACAAAAATTGTTTTGTAGTTTTTACTATAATATTTTCACCGTGTTTAGGCAAGTATGTAATTATTTTTATGATTATTAATAATTAATTAATATTTTGTCATTCAATATTTCATATATGAATAAAATATAAGCGTACTTGTATCTCCTTGTCATACTTCTAGTTTATAATAAAATATTTAGCGGAAACCATAGTCGATAGATTTTTGTGTATTTAAAAATATCTGTTTAAAATTTATTATACGCAGAAATATACATATATTGAACGTAAGCTATTAATACAATCATTATAATTAATGTAACCATTAATAAGCATTAATCAGATGATTTATTAATCATGAGGTACATATGTTTATAATTTGCAGTTATCAATTAGTAATTATTCAATATAAAGGGAATTATTGTTTTCTCTTTTTATTAAATATTTTTATTGCATGTACTTGATTGATATCCCGTAATAAAATATATTTTCATTACATGTAATACGATAAATATCGTTGAGAAATTAGTTTCATATACAACCGTAACAAAAATTGATATAAATTATTAATATGAATCTAAAATGAGAATATGGAAAGTATAGAATTAACTTCTATACAATATATACTAATTTCAAATATTTTATTTGCAAATAAATATTTATTAAATAAAATATTTTATTTAATAAATATATATAAAAACTTTATGAAAAATCATTATTATTTCTTCAAAAATATTTTGTTATATATAATTTATTGAATCAAATTATAATAAAAAAAAAAAAACCGCCACTTCTCTATTTAACGACTAACAGTTCAATCATAATTGACGATTATTTTAATTTTAATTATTTAATTAATCATCGATTCGAGAACGCAAAAATCAATGTTTGATAATGATTGATTTTATTACTTTGCCCAATTATGCCCTTAGGTAAATCAAAAGACGGACAAAGGAGTAAAAGGGGGAGTCGGGTCGCATACGGGAGTTCAAGTGTGCGATGGTGAATGTAACGGTTGATAAACGGCGCGCGGCACAATCAGTGGCACGTGGCAGCGGGTTGGTGAATCTCTCGACTCCCACGCGGGTCATCATCCCTGCGGCGAGCGACAGTGGGTGGATTTCGTGCATCCAGCTGAGAGATCGTAAAGAGAAGACGAGTTTCGCGAAAAGAGAGCAACGCGCAAGAAGGTGGATCAAAGAAGCGGCGACGCGGGGAACGCTGGCGAGAAAGCAATAAAATAGCCTCGTGACGGAGGGGCTTCGCACGGCCCTGGCGCGACTGCGGCACTGTACCCCTGCGGGGGGCTCGCTGCCGACCACACCGAATCCACCGTCCACCCCGGAACACAAATCCCAAGTGCGTTTTTTCTTATTATTTAAACCTTGATTTTTTCCCTTGTTATTCTCATTAATCATAATTATTCTATAATGACATTTGAATCAAAGCGAATCGGAACGAAAAGAAGTAGAAGGTTTTCTGTTCCCTATTTTTCTTTATCTCATTATTTTAACAAATCATTGAAATCCGACGTGCATCGCGCTGATTAATTATCGCGCGATGAACAACGGACGGAGGGATTTGGATACACGACGAGAAACGCGCGCGTGAATCCGTAATTCGATCTGTCACAGGGGTGCTCGAGGAATCGCGAGTCGGCAACCAGATGTGGAAGTTTGGGAAGTAACGCGTGTGATCAGGGGGATACATCGCAGTCGCAGCCATCGCGAGGACAACATGGGACTGACAATAGCAGCGGTGGCGGCGGCGGCGGACGAGACAGTGATCTTCTTTCGTCCGCGATTCGGCGGTTCAACTTCAAGGCGGCGGGCGGCAGCCGCAGCTGCCGGACGGTGCCGAAAGTCGTGGTCATGGGCTCCAGCACGGCGTCGGAGACAACGATCAACACGAGCACCGACAGCGCCAACACGATGCTCACTATGGTAGGAACGATGACGAGCATACAAAATAGACACACGATAATTTTGCAAAATAACGCCGGCGTGTAAATTTGATCGATTTAAACCGTGGGCGGTAAATGAAATGACAAACAAACGTTGTAAATGTTATATATGTACAACACACGTTTTCTCCGTAATTAAATATGTTATTATAATAAAGTAAAAACTAAAAAATTAACATTAAAATTAAAATCGAAATTAAAATCAAAGATTTAAAATCAGAATTAAAATTAAATTTATGTCTATTATTATAAAATCAAGATTTGTCTTGATCTATCAATTTTGATTTATGAAATGTATATTATTTATTATTACATTGATTCTATGTAATACTCGGATATATATATATGTGTGTATAAAGCGTCATCAGGTTTTCGATACATTGATATCAGCAATGAGCTATTGTATGCTTTTATAAGGCTAAAGTTTAACAAATTATGAGCGTGTTAGTACTTGATATTATAAATATTATGATATCAAGTATCAATTATGTATTATAATTAATGTAGCGCACGCGCTCTGATATTGCATTAAGGAACAAAGTTAGTAAACTGTATGTCGAAATCGATGTAACGTGCCTCTATGTATGCTGATTAACGAATCCATACTGAAAAAAATGTGTTTTTCGCGTTGGGATTTAATAGGTACCTTTGCGTGCTTAGTATCCATATTTCAGTATGCAGTTAAGCACGAAAGCAACGTGCGAACCTCATATACGTTTCGCGCTCAGGGCGTGATATTTTAAATTAATTTTAAACGAATTAACAAATGTGTTCTTGTGTGTGTTAAACGAACAATTACCGAGAACCGCGTTTTTTTTCATAAGACGCGATTAAAGGGAATGTGTATATAATTCATGGATCTGGGTTCGCAAAGATACGAATAACAAGCAAATATTCCTAAAACGATTTGATATATTGAACAATTTGATTTTAGATTTTTAATTCTCCCTTCTTTCTTGTTTCAAAGATATTTCCCTAATTCCTATTTTCCGTTTAGTTCACATGCATTAAATAGTTTTTTTGATAGAGCTTAATAAGGAATTATCTGTCTCTAATTTCATGCAAAAAATGAATATTGAGATAATTGATTTTTTTTTTTTTATTAAATACGGCAAATTTAAAATATTCTAAAATCTAGATTTAGTTTATGAAATATCTTGTTACTTGCAACTTTAAATTTAACGATAGACTTTTTCTAATAAAATTTAAGAAATTTAAGAAATTTTTTGACGAAAATATCGAAAGAAATTATCATCTGTCGTAAATTTTTTTTTTTTTATTTGGAAGATATATCAAATTAACTAAAAATTATTTGTATATCTATTTGCATTTTCCTCGAATTTATTCTACGTCAAAAATTCGATTTATTTATTCTAACCGTTTACAGTTCAAAACTATTAAGATTTCGATATATTTTCGATAAGAAAAAAATTATTTCAATTTCGAACACGAAATATTGCTCATCGAATTTTCTGTATGTGTATTTATGTTTCTTTTTATAGATTTTTGAATTTACATAAAATATAAAAAAAGTCAGTAATAATAATATACATCAATAATTCATAATATCGTCGACACACGATTTTTTGCCCTTCTTCAGGTGACGACGACGGACGGGGAGCAGCCAGACGACAGCTTCGACCTAATCGACGTGCCGGTCGAAATGTCGCCTCCCGCTACAACCCCGTCGCAATCACCTATCCATCTCGTTGGACATTCCGACGACATAGCCACGGGTAGCCGTACTTCGTCACCGGCATCGCCTACGTCGCCCATTTCCGTCGCGGCGCCGGCGAATCAAACTACACCGCCGTTGCCGCTTCCGGTAACGTCGCCGACGTCATCGCTTTGCGCCTTCGACAAGACCGAGATCGCAGGTCCGTCGAGCCGTTGCTCCCGCTCGAAACTCGACGCGGATCAACCGGAGAGCAATGCCAAAGCGACGATTGGCACCTCCATCGGTCAGGGACACATCGCGAGTAACGGCGCCGAGAGCACGTCGGCTCTTACGCCACCCACGCCGATGATCGGGGTGCACCAGGAGACCAGATTCACCTTCGGCGGCAGTGGTAGAACCCCGCCTCTGCCGGATCTCAGAACCGCGGATTTCTTTAGGTATGTAACTTGATCGATCTGATCGATGAACCGCGATTCCAAGGCGAAAGATATATATGATTAAACGAGAGACAGCGAGTGATAAAAAGAAATAAAAAATAGATTTAACGCGTGAAGCATTTTAAGTGAACGATACTCTGTATAGAAGATAAATGCAGATCAACGCTATAACGCGTTGAAAACTATTGAAAATTTAGAGTTCAAAATCAGAAATATTGATATCTCCATAAATCATAAAAATATTTTAAAAAGTTCTGTGCACGTGCGATGTTTTTTTATCTTAAAATTAAAAAAAAAAAGTTGCAAAGATTTTATAGAGAAGAATATATAATTTTATCTATATAAAACTATCTGTCAGTTACACACATCACTCTTCTCCTGATTTTGGATCGCTATCACGTGCAATAATTTCCCGGTTCAAGAACTTCTTCTTTACTTCGGGCAAGACTGAGGTTTCTTAAGAGAATCTACGTGCCTTCTACTCACGCTATCTTTTTCCCTCGGGGTGAGTACAAAGTTTACGGCTAAGCTGAATTCCGAGAGCAATTTCCGAATTGATCCCACGTTCTAAATTTGATCCGAGTTTGGCAAACAAAATTTAAGAACATTTATGGTTCGATTGTGAGCTTGTCAATCATTGTCTCTCGTTCAATCGCGACAAGATTATTCGTATCCTATGGTCCCGTTTTATGTTTTAGCACTCCCGTGAGGGGCTCCGTGGATGCGGGCCAACCTGATTCGATCGACACGCGCTCCTCGATTCGGAACTTGATGGCCGCCCAGGAAAGGCAGAACGCCAGGGTGGCATATCAGATCGATTACATGACCGGCGGAAAGGTCAATTCGATTCAGGCGAATGCGCTCGAAAAGGGTATTGCCGATCACAAGCGGAGTCAAAAGAGGCCCAACATTAACGTGACGACCAATCCGCTCGATATATCGCTCATAGGTGCAACTCAGCCGTGCAATACTCAGGGTTGTAATGCCCAGGGTAGCACGAGTACGAAATCACGAGGACGATCAGCGGGTGAGTCTCTCGATAATATTTTCTTGTTCTCTGAAAAAGTACCACGCCGGTACTCACGTATGTAGTCTCGTCGCTTAAGAACGCGACGTTCGACAAGGTTCGCCGAAACCGCGACAACAACGATGAACCACGTCGCGACCCTCTCGTCGATGATAAAAACAGAGATCCGAATTTTCGCCCCATCGAATTCCGGTCTCATTGCCTTATTCATATCCATGGTAATTTACTTGATGAACCTGGATCCTACTGATGGAGATCGATCGCTCGCTCGTGGCTATCATTACAAATTGAAAGATGGAAAACCCCCGGAATTTCGCGAGTGGCGCAAGTGTTCCTCTCTTTCTCTCACTCGCTCTCTATCTCACTCTCCCTCTTTTTCATTCCGGTCTCATTGCCTTATTCATATCCATGGTAATTTACTTGATGAACCTGGATCCTACTGATGGAGATCGATCGCTCGCTCGTGGCTATCATTACAAATTGAAAGATGGAAAACCGGCAACCTCGGCTAACATTGACCGTGAATCGCTGATTTTATTTTTTAGCTATATGTTACTTAACCGAGGCTGTCGAGCGCTAACCAGAGTTATTTAACCAAGGTTATCGACTGCCTTCGCAGTCGGGTTCTTTAAAGTATTATAATTCCACTTAGCGATTCGCTGTCTCTAGATTGTACGTGTGCGAGAAGGGAGATATTATAGTCTATGATATATTCATAGTTTTTTTTTATCTATAGTAAGAGAGAGAGAGAGACTTTGGAAAAATACTAACTGACAAAACTGACACGGGGTCCTTTTTTATATTATCGTTAAAATTAAATAAAATCTATTAAAATTGATTAAATTATTAAAATACTATAACTATTAATTCGATTATTATTATAATTGTTTCATTTATCTGAAGGTATTATTTTACTTTATTTTGCGCTTTACTTGCGCTTCTCGGTGTCAATTTTACGAGAAGTTTCAAAGACCTCGCACGAATGGAGGAAGTAAATAATTTGACTAATCAAAGTTAGAGCGTCAATCGATATCGGTGTAAATCAATCCCGTGCGTGTATAGATGTACGCGATGTGCGTGTGTATACGTGTATATATATGCATGAGGGAGAGGAAACGAGAGGAGACGAGAGAAATGGACGATAGCTCTAAGGAAATGAATTGATGTTCTTTTCTTTCAGAATCTCATCCACTCGTTTCAGCCATTCATTCATGGGTCAGGCTCTTTTTCCCGTTTTGCGCAATAGGTATTACATAGTCCGGCAAATAGACGATATAGTCATTTCCGTATCCACATAAGGCGGCCGTCGAAAGCGCATGAGATCTTTTGCAATGATTACGATGACGACGACGATAACGATAATGACGACGACGACGACAATGATAATGACAATGGTGTGAATGAGTGAGAGCGGCGGGACACGATCCTTCCCGCCTTTCGGCGACCGTCCTTCTTGGTGTTACGTGGATACAGTACGGTAACACACGTATGCGACTATATGCGAATGCGCTTGGGCTTCTTCTCCTTTGTTCTCCATCTCTTGTTTTCGCTGCGTCTCTGTCCTCTTCCTGCGTTGTCAATCACGCTTGCGTCTCTTTCGCGCGAGTCTCAGACAACGACAACGAGCGGCGACAACAACGACGACGACGTTTTATTAGCCCCGCAAGAAAGAGAAAAGGGAGAAAAAAGAGCAACGGATATTACGTCCTTGACGAAACTCGTCCTCGAGAGACTCGGTTCTTATAAGACGCGATGTTGACGTTCTTAATGTTGCCGCTCGTTGTCCAGCGAATTCTGCGATAGTAATCAACAATGCCGTAGCCGAAGGGAATAACGTCGCCGTTGCTTTGATCTTTAATTGAAAATCCGTTGCGTGTACAAAACACATCGATCTAAGTGTTTTTTAGTGTGATTTTTGTCGCCATCGGGTATAAGAGACCGTTCGCATACATAATAAATTAAAAGAGATTTAAATAATCCTTTTTCTAAAAATAAGAACAAAAAAAAATTGATTAAATTTCCACTAACTTGATTTAATATTTATGAAGGCGGCCTATATGAAGGAGGAGATTGGAACTGGATTGAAATATATTCATTATTTCTTGAACTTTAGGCATGTTTAGATGTATTCGCGAATTGTGCATCACATTATTTATATTATTTAAAATTTATATATTTTAGAAAATTTAAAATCATATCTCGATCTCTTGATATTTACAGTTTCTACCTCTTTCGTATATTTGCTTTCTGTATGTATCGCAAAATGTGAATTTTGTCACTATATGTAGATAAATAAATAGATGTAGATTCATCGATAGAGCAATGTTACCGTGATGTTGATCGAATCGGTATGATTTTGTTGAGATTTTAATTTTTAACATTACAGATATAGAAAAATGCTTAAGCATATATCATTTCCGATACAAAAGATTCTAATCGTACTGAATACAATTAGGATCAGTTTTCACGAGTTTGGCTTTGATTAATAAAATACAATTGCTAACCGATTTATATATTAAAAAAGAGTACATAGTTTATTTTATAATTAATCTATTTTATATTTAATTATATATGTGTGCGTATTGAAAGTATTGTATATATTTAACACACAGTGTGATTTCTCTCCCTTTTTTTAAATTTCAGTTAATATTAATTTGAGAGTACATTTATTCGATTATAAATATTGTTCAAAAAGAAAGAGAGCTCTCTCAAGAGAATTAATCTTAATTTCATCTTGTCCTATCAGAATCATGTAAATCGAGCACGTAAGGTGAAATCATTTCACGTGTCTGTAGTATCGAAATCTAAAAACTCGTCGGAATTAAACCAGTTTTAATCCATGCGCGATATCGATCTTTGCCACGCGATCAGCTTGCTTCGGCTACGTCGCATCGTTTAGCAGCGCGAAAGAGAAGACTTGGGAATGCCGCTTGCGACTCTTGCTATCGGATCACGCTTTGTCGTTACCTGTTTGTTTTTATTCACTAGTATACACAGATACACACATATACACACACCATGACGTTCGTGGGATCGCCGTCCTCGCTATCCACAATTCTCGTTATTATTCCGTCCGTTAGTGCCGGATGGAATCTCGGTAATTGCAATTGCGCGAGTTCGCAGATTGCAGAACTTTTGTTTAAACGAGGAGTTTGTTCATCTCAAAGATCCTTGTCGACCTTCAGGCTGGGTTAGAAATTACACCGAGAACAATCTCGAATGAAAAAAGTTTACGAGCCGCAACTACCGTCTACATAGTAGGATCATGCTGTGATCATTAATGTTAGAATTGTGATCTCACAAATCTAATTTATCTCGAAAAGTAATTACGAAAGTTGTTTAAAGCATAAACTAGCGAATATCTATCTATGGATTCTCACGCCGATCATGCAATTTAAATTTTTCCACATTTTAGTTTTTATCATTTCAAATGGCATATATATCTTATTCGATCGAATGTTTTATTGCAAAAATGTAATTACTGTAATTGGTGTGAAAATGTTCACCTTGCGCTTCTAAAAGAGGATTGTGTAATTGATTCTAAACACAAGTTGGCTCTTCTGAACGAAAACTTAATTGGATGCTATTATATATGCTGATATACGGTACAGGATTGAGCAACCAAGTTTGAACTTTAATTCCAAACTCATCAAAAAATTGAAATGAGTTTATTGTATTACGACGTATTATATATGTACATTGCGAAAGTGTATAATGTATTTAAAATTCAACGCTTTTAGATTACACCAAGTTTCGATATTAAATTCTTTCTTCAAGCGAGCCGTAGATTAATATTTCTTGTCAGAATTAACCACAGAATAAACTTCACTTTTATTTCTTTTTATTTTCAATCGTTTACATTTGGGAAACTATTTATATTTCGGCATGTCTTTTGAGAGGGAATATTGATTCTCTACACTTTGACAAAAGATTCCGTAGATGGAAGTTGCAGCGATTGATTTGACATACTTTGTATAAATGTCAAATAAATGTAAACGAAATAATATTAGAAAATAGTGTAAAATATGGCATAAATGGTAAACAAAAAAAAAAAAACTACTTTAATTAAATTTTAATTAAATTTTATCCCTCTTATTCTTTATTCAATAACAACTGTGCAAAATCTTTTGGAATAATAATCTCTGACCCAGCCTGTACATTCGCCGAACAAATACTATGGAAACTTCTTTCGCTGCGATTGATATCAACCCTATCAAGATTCTGCCGCTATATCGGAAGCGAAGCTTCATACTATCATCAGCGGTAATGTACACGAGTGACGGCGGTTCCGGCGATACAATGGCGAATATGTTGTCAGGCACGCATCTGGAGTAAACGCACCCTCTTGGCGATTTCGCCGAGGAGGGGAATCAAAAAGGGCGAGCCTAAGAATCTCAAAAAACGCGTTCCGTGCCGCGCTAGGGTGGAATGTGAGGGGGGAGGGGGGTCATGAGGAAACGGGGACGGGAGGATGAACTCTTCCTCTCCTCCACCGGTCCTTTGTGACCCGCAAAATCAACAAACCCGGATGGAGGATAACGGATGGTAAATTTTTCATACCCGAAAGGCGGAAGCGCCGGCGGCACCGGTAAGCGATCGACCCAGGCGACAATCGTCGTACAACAGCCATCCTTATCGCTGGACGCGCCCGCGGCGACGATTTTACTGCACCCGGATGCCGATGCCAGACGACGTGAGGAGAACATGCGGCAGTTGCTAGACGTCGCCAACACTCTCACTCTGCAGGAGATACACGACTTCGAGATGAGGTGAGCGAATGATATTGACCGCCGCTGCGGCATCTGCGGTTTTTCCTCGGCGGTTCCCGTAAAACGACACGGTCGATCTCGATGATATTGGCTTCATAAAGATTTGAATGTCCAAGGGAATATAAGTAATGGATGACATTTATGGCGAAATATAGCCGATCTACTTTGAAGTTATTAGTATGATTATATCTCTTGACGAGCAGATCAAGTTTTATTTTGGAACTTTTATCGCATAATTAATAGCTAGTAATATCTTTGAAATTAAACATTTTATCGATAACGTTCTCAATGATATAAATTAAAAGATATTGAAGCAAGATGTTAAAATATTTAAAAAAATATTAAACAGCATTTCATTTGTCTAATGTAATGAATCTAATAAATATTAATCAGTAGTTATATATGTGTATGAAAGAAAAGCTTAATAAAAATATCATCTCTTTCATGTATTTTAATATAATTCGAAGTGTTCTCGCGATCGCGGTAAAAGGAAAAGTTTCCTCTGAAATCTTGTCGGAAGTTTTAACCGGGGATATTCAATATTTACGGACTTATATAGGATGTCCCAGAAGGAAAAATCCATACTTCAGGAAAACATCAAGCATTTCGAATAAAAATACATATTCGACGAACATGTATTCAATTATGAATAATTCAGGATTGTACTGATTTAAATTGAAAGATATATATAATATTGCAGATAGTAAAAAAATTATTGTCCAACATTTTTTAATAATAAAATTCAGCAGCTTCTTAAATATTCTAAAGAGTTCTCCAAAATTCCACACTTTTAATCTTAATAGATGTTTTTCGTAGTTTATTTATCACATATATTTATTAGCCTTTTGCTCACAATCGTTCGAATGGCGAAAAGCGAATAATTTCGAAAAAATTTCAGAAGAGTTATTTCTAGAAATATATGTTACTTTGAAGATACTTTATAAAGATCGTCAACATTGTATTTTGTAAAGTATTGATTTTACTTTTTGTGGACCATCCTGTGTATATTCAATATATCCGGGTAGCAATCGTGTTTATCCTCTGTCCCAGATATGGAAGTCCCCATCATAGCCGGTCGCAGTCAGTCAAGGCCCCCGGCAGTCGTTCTTCCGGTCGACCGAATTATCTGTGTCTTCCGCAACAGAGATCACGAGTGGCGAGCATGCCCAACACCGGTGTGGAGGAGGAATACTACAGATTACGGCATTTCAGTATCACGGGTAAAGGAGTGGTGAATCGGGGCGACTCCCTCAAGAGCCGCAGATCGCGTTCTAATAACAGCGTCGCATCCAGCAATTCCAGGTGAGTTTGAGCAATTAAGGCGATATAGATCCCTCAACGGAAACATTCTTATTAGACGAATTTTCAAATATTAGGAATCTAATATTTTTGAATGGTACTATATTCAAAACATTTCTCCCTATTTAAATAAATTATAGAAATCGAGATTTAAGCTCGATTTCTCTATACTTAACTTAATCACTTATTATGAATTAGTTATATTAGCCATCAATAAAATCGACTCCGTTTCTTCGAGTCTTTTATCATCGTTTTCAAGAAGTAACGTTCTCTATCATCGCGAACTTATTTTCTTTATATTCACGCGGTATAAAGGGATTTCAAGAGAAAATTGACAAGAATGTATTTTTGTTAACGGAGTGTCGATAGCCGTAGCAATATCGACAGTTCCACTTATTACTCTACGCTCGGTCGGCGATATCTGCGATTGTACCGCTTCGTCTGCTCCGCTCGAAAGGAGCGCGCCGTAGAATATCTCCGGTTTCACCCTCTTCTTGTCGCAGGAGCGAGTCGGGCCGTCGCTCTAGATCGAACGCGTGAGTTTACGTGTGGCGTTGATGTGACGTAGACACGCGCGTTGGACCTTAGAGCGTGGTCCTCGAACACCACGCAAATATAATATATCGAGAGGCTCTGGACATAGTATCTCAAATAAATACTATGCAGTTGACGTAAACGTTTGAGAGATGTAAGATATTATTTCATATCTCTCGCTTTCTGCATCATATTTGTATTTTATATTTCAAAACAGTATTTTATATTTTTCCTATGTGAAATATTATGCACCGAATATACAGCAACTTGTATTTTGTATTTGAAATACTATATTTACGGTGGATGTCGTGTATAATATGTTGATGTTTACTGAAAAAAAATTAGAATCCCGTAAAAAGATTTTAATTTTAAATTTCATATTCTTGCGGAGATATTTATTATGCTTTCTGCAAATAATAATAATTTTGCAATTAATAATAACTCTTTAAAACAATTGCTCTAAAATACAATATATATAATATAATTGTATAACGTTATTAAATATACTTGTAACGTATAATATCAAAATAAATTAACGAAAAGCAGAATATAAGTGACTCAGGTAACTAGTCGTGTCGTCATGAACATTGATTTTATTACTCAGGTTCTGTCGACCGAAGTGCGAAACGTTGAATATTGCTTCGCGCGATTGAATAAACTTATTACGATTCTTTCTCCCTTTCTAGATGCAACCGTATTGAGTTTGATATCAATATATAAAACGAAAAGTAAAACGTAGTTCCGATACAATATATATAGAATATTTCTTGAAGTTTATTTTTTAAATAATATATTGTATAAATATATATACACAAAATATTTCCTAAAGTTTAATTGCAGGAGCATATTTCGTGATAAAATCGGAGTTGACCTTTCCTCTGCGAAAATTTAAACCGTAGAACGTAATTATAGATGTGTTTAACATTAAAGGCTAAAAGGCTTCAGTAAATTAAGCCCTCGAGTTGCGGAGTCCTATTTCTCAGTTAATTTCAAGTGAAGTTTAGTGAAATCTTGATTTGGAACTCCGTTGCTTAAAATATTTGACTGAAAATTTCGAAATTATTATATGAAAAGGCGGCACAGCCGCAAACATATCCGCCAAGATAAAATCGTCTTATATCCTGGCAAAAATATATCTTCAAAGTTTGACAGAAAATCTTTGAGATGTACGATCATATATAACGTTTTTATTATTTATTTAGGATATCACAGAGGAAAGGTTTGTTATATAAGTATATTAAGACAAAAATATGACTTGTTACTCGACGATTCATATGAGTACTAAAAGCTAAAAGGCTTTAGTAAATTAAGCCCTCGAGTTGCAGCGTCTTATTTCTCAGGCATTTACTAAAATAGTAAATTTGACTAAAATAGACGCTATATTTCTCAAAAAGTACTGTTGTTTATTTAAAAAGGAATACACACATACTCTATATAAGAGAGAAAGAGAAAAACAAAGTGTGTGTGTGTGTATGTGTATGACATAAATATATGAAATATAAGAATTTTTATAGATTGCCTCAAAAAGACGGATTTTCTATTCATTCGTTTTAGATAACTTGTGCCATAAAACTAAATAATTTTCAGAAGACTTTCAGGTTCATATTTTCTCGCCCGTTAATAAATATTTTTTTACGAGAGACAATTTATCTGATAACATTTCGCAGTCAAGTGAAAACTCTCTCCCCTATATTTTATTTTATGTCTTAATAGGCGCTCTTTCATCTTATTTTAAATATGTTTAAAAATGTGATAAGGTGAATCAAAAGTGTAATCAAAATTTGAATCCATTTTCAACTAATGAACATTGAAAGAAGTATAACGTTTACTACTTTAAACTACATTTTTATTATAATGCAAATCACTTCTTATCGCAATCCTTTTTTTTTTATTGTGCCTAGTTAAATAGTTTTTCAAATTCATTTTTATGATTGATAATCATTTTCTTTAAAATGGAATACTATAGCGTGCGAAAAAGTATCCATAAAAAATATTACGGTTTTTATATTTTCCTTACAATATTTTCTATAAAATGCATATATTTACATGGACATATGTAATAAATAAAAATATATAAAAGTACTTTTTTAATTTTTTTTTTAATAAAATACAATTTGCATTTTACGCGGTTATAACATTAATATAATTTTAAAAAGTTGTGGTATTCCCAAGTTAAATGTGCGTGGCAACCATCTATTTTTTCTAATGCATTTAAATAACTCGTGCAACTTTTTCAAAATTGTCATTTAGGAAATCTATAAAACAAAAGTACAATTTTTTTTTATTTTCCGAAAATTCCCAGTAAATTGACTTCCTTTTTCGGGGGGCCCCTTTTTCATCTCGAATATATAAATTCGATGATACAGCCATGTCCCATGCTAATCTCGATACGCGCCTAGCCTTTCTTCTATTCGACGCAGCACGGAACACCTGACCGCCTCATATCCAGGATCGGCACGGAATTCGGCGGCGGGCTCGTTGGCGAGCTCGAGGGAGAGCAGCGCGTCCCAAGGTCCGGCACCGTATCGCGTCCTTATGCTAGGTGCCCCTGCCGTCGGCAAGAGCTCGCTGGTGTCTCAATTTATGACTTCCGAATATCTGCACGCCTACGATACTTCGATCGGTGAGTCGACCATGTTACGGCCGTAAAATCCACGGCCTTCTCCGTCCCCGGTCACAATGTGCCATCATGATCGATCGAGAATGCGACACGCGATCTTCGTGTAGATGAAAGAATCATAAAAGTCAATTGAATGAATCGGAACGAAAACAGGCAGACCGTATTACTCTTTATCCGGTATAAAGTGTGATGCAATTATTTCACCCGGACAGACACGAAAAAATTGTACGTGCGCATGCGATACAATGCGAGCTGGAATGGCACGCGACATTTCCGGATCCTTGAACATATTTCCGAACATAGATTCGTATGTACGCAAGCAGTTCCGCATTCATATCCGTTTTGAATGCGGATACTCGTTTATTTCGGATCTCGTTTAAAGGTTTATACATGCGAAAACTTTACAACAAAATAAATAAAGAAAATAAATCTTTATTCTTTTTAAATTTGCATTTTTCACATTTGTGATTGCAATATTCAAAATTGTTGCAGATAATATCGGGAGTAATATGCTTGTCATTTAGGATTATTCGACTTCATCGGATAATCAAGTTTGTCTTGAAATCAATGAGAAAACTTGAATGCAATCCGATTTGTATTTTATGAATATCTGCATATCTCTAGTATTTGGAGTGAATTAAAAACGGAAAGCATTTCACAGAAAGATTATTCGATTCGAGGCATTCATATTTTTATAAAATTAGATCGTTTCAATTTTATTTATTAATAAATTATTTATGTAGCTTACTTTTTATATTTTAATGAGAAATATATATATATATTAAGTTTTATTAATATAATATTTCTTTTTAGTTACTATATTTTTCATTATAATGAGAAAGTTTTACTTGTTTATGATATTATTTTAGAATTTATATGTTTAAAAATCTAACTATATTTTTGATACTCTTTATTCATTACAGACGACGAGTCTGGTGAAAAGACTGTCAGCGTGCTATTGGCCGGCGAAGAATCGGAATTGACTTTTATCGATCATTCCTGCGCTGAGATGACGGTGAGTTAATAGCTTTAGTGTCAAAAGTTATCAGGTTATCACATACTATAATTACCAGATAAAGATCGTGTATATTTTTAATTTTCGACATTTTTGTAAGATAAAAATCACAATATATTATGCGAATTATTGCGCGTTGCAATAATGTTAAAAATATTCATTTTGATATAACCCGTAATATGAATTCCCCTATTCAATAAAAATTCCAATAAATTCCTTATGCTAAATACGAAAAGGAAGAAAAAGGAGATAAAAGTATACCCATACATACGCACACACACAATTGACGAGGAACAGAATAGTAAAATTGGTCTTCGACAGAATTTTCCTCAGTCAATTGATTACTGATGTGCACGTCGCTAATTTTCCGTGCCCCTGAACTAATCATTTCTGCCGCAAAATCGCAATCTCACGCCAGCTCGTCTCCTCTCATTTTCGTCGAACAAACGGATAGGGAATCGCGCGCCTTGAACCTTCGACCAAGTACTCTCACGACGACAGGGACGGTGTAATCGAGTTAACATGGGGAAGGGGAGAATTGAAAGGGAGGCTGCATGGGAGAGGTACGCGGAGTGTGTGCTTTTGTACCGCGAGAATTAAATTAAAATCCATTTTCCATGGCAGGGGCGGAGCTATCGCGGCGATACCCGCGCGCGCTGTCAATGTGGAGGAGTCTCGGCCGCGATGTACATACGTAGAGATCTACGTTTTGGAAGGGAGGAAGGGATGAATGAGGAGGGTTGGAGAAGGAGAGGAACGGGGTAGAACCGCCGCCACGCTTCGCCAGACAATTTCAATCGAATTTACCCTTTAATTAAAACGTATACGTTCGCAGAAACGTATAACGCGGCTGATGTATATCGCGCGATCGCGACCGATCTCGCGTGTGTCGGCAAAACGATAAACGATTGCTACATCGTTGGAGTGCGGTGGTGATCGAACTTGGAGTTCTGAATTTCCCGAATTCCGGCAACCGAAGGCCGTGCCCGGTACGACTCGCGCGCCGCCGTTATTCTTGGTATTACCGAAAGTCAAGGCTGATCGCTAATCACGTTAAGCCGCGAGGCCGAGATCCTGATTTCCGTTGATAGTCCCGGGATTGTATTAGGTCGGGCTATTAAGTTAATGCGTATTTATTACGTAAAGATAAGCTCGCGGTGATCGCAATTTCTAACACAGATGAGGTAAAAAAGTTACCAATATTTTTTTAAGAAAAATTTTAAAACATTAAGATTGCGTCAAATTTTTGACAACAAAAGAATATATTTTCTTAATTAAAAAAATACATTATTACTTAAATTTCTACTTATTCCGTTTCCATATTTCTTAAAAATATGCGTCATTTTATGGCATGACTTGATATTCATGCGCTAAGATTCGATATAAATTCAGATTACGTTATATCTGATATTCTACATCGCGAGTCAATTTTTATCAATTCATCCTTCAATAAATCAATTCAAAATAACTTTCATCTTGACAAGTAGAGCAATTGATAATAATTTTTGTACAATAAGCAGTAAAGAATGGACAGATTTTGATTATTTAAAAAACAAAAAAATAAAATATATATAAGAATAAAAAAACTAGATTTATGCAATGTTAAACTTTACGATGATAAAATTAATTTATGAAATAATTTGCAACATCTTTGCTTAAAATTGGCAATTAAAAAATTATAAGAAGAAAGAGCGCCCTATAAAATTTTTCTTAAGAAAATTAATTCTGTATTTTAATCAAAGGATCTGTAAATGAATAGTTTTACCGATAATTATGGAGCAATCTATATAATTTGTATTAAAGATTCAACTAAAAATTACACCATTGTTATTTCGTAAAATATAGCATGTAAACAAAGCTGTAATAGTATACCTATGAAGATATAAATTACCTAAAAATGAATATATATTAGCAAAATAATATTACGTACAAGCTAGTAATAAGCAGTTCGCGGCAATTCATAGTTATATACATCCATTATTCATAATATTTAACATATATTTATAATATTAACTATATGGCCACTATTAAACGTGTGGTTACTTCGATAATACCTCAAAATATATAATATTACAATGTATGTCATATAACGCGCTTCTACAATTTTAAATTTAATAAATTGATTTTGTTGTTCAATTAACTCTAATTCCAAATGGATTTTATTTTAATGACATTTTAACTCGCAATCTAGTTACCGTAATGATTGATGTTGAAGATGGAAAAGCTACAAAGAAAGAAAACACATCATGGCCATATTCCAAAATTCACTGCCAGTACTGAAAATTTATAGTTCATCTATAATTCAGTATATTATAAATTTAACGTATATTATAACGTATATTATAAATTTTCATTATTGGCAGTGAGTTTTGGAACACGGCCTTTATCTCCAAATTTTCATTAAAGAAGATTGCTTAAATTAAATAATAAGTAGATGAGAGCAATGATAATTTGAGGATGTTTCGCTTATTTAAAAATACAACTCAGCGCTTTCTCATCTTACAAAATACTCGTAGATAATATTTGAAGAGAGAAAGTTGAAGAGAGAGAGAAAGTAGAAAGAAAGTTCTATGAAAGAAGCTTAGGATCAAATTTTGAGGAAACATTGACTATAAATTTAAAAAAGCGAGAAAGAAAGAAAAAGGAAAAAAAGAAGAGAAGAGGGAATTTAGAATACTCTCGTATTTATTTCGCAGTTATGTGAATTCGTTAGCGAGAGGTTTACCAACAAAGTTAAGCGTAAATGGGTCAGTGCTTGACCCTACGTTGTGGTTTTAGAGTCGAACTTCCGCATGCTTTATTTAATCAACGTAAATACGTTAACGAGTGATGTGTCCGAGAGCATCGATGTTCTCTTTTATGCGTAGTTTCTCAACATATCATTGTAATTGCGTTTTTTATCGCACGCGTAAGAACTTGCAAAATAAACGAGATGAACACGCAAGCATTGATTTTCTGTATACTATTAATATAGCCTTTTTTCTTTATAACTTTAAAATGTAATTAGTAGATTAAAAAATGTAATTTTGTACGTGTTAAAAAAGAGAAAACATTTAAAAAGATTAAAAATCTTATTTTAGGCAAATTTATCTTTTTCGAAAAGAGGGTTAGAAGTCATAATGCAAAAATAACTGTAAAAGGATGATACTTAATAAAAATAATCTTTAAGATTAAATAATCATATAATATATATCTTCAAATGTTTTATAATAACCATAAAATATGCAGAAATATTAAGACAAATTAAATATATAGGAGGGAGAAAACAAGTTGAATTAAAAATTTTCAAGATGTTCCTTTTTTAAAACCAGTGTCACGATTAGCTTGACCCACATTACTTTTCACGTTAACGGCGCGGGTACGTTGTGCGAAAACTTCCATTTAGAGCAATGTTATCTAAGCTTGTGGTCGCCGTCTGGCATCCAAATGCGGCGTGACAGTCCGATTTGCGGTCTGTGTGTAACCGGCCAAGTAAGAGTTATCGCGTGACGAGCTAACTGCGAGCTCTGCCACGTGAATCTCAGAGGGGTAAGAAAAAGGACCTGAGGGTGTAACGAAGCGTTCCTCTTTCTCTCCTGCCTTCGTTCAATCAGGCGTGCTCCGAGTCATTGACGAGCATCGAGCCATACCGATTAAATATATAGGAGGGAGAAAACAAGTTGAATTAAAAATTTTCAAGATGTTCCTTTTTTAAAACCAGTGTCACGATTAGCTTGACCCACATTACTTTTCACGTTAACGGCGCGGGTACGTTGTGCGAAAACTTCCATTTAGAGCAATGTTATCTAAGCTTGTGGTCGCCGTCTGGCATCCAAATGCGGCGTGACAGTCCGATTTGCGGTCTGTGTGTAACCGGCCAAGTAAGAGTTATCGCGTGACGAGCTAACTGCGAGCTCTGCCACGTGAATCTCAGAGGGGTAAGAAAAAGGACCTGAGGGTGTAACGAAGCGTTCCTCTTTCTCTCCTGCCTTCGTTCAATCAGGCGTGCTCCGAGTCATTGACGAGCATCGAGCCATACCGCGCGTTCGACCGTTAAAAGCGGTCGATCCCGTAGATATATTCGATACCACGAGACGCGCCGCGCCTTTGATACGGTTCAAGATAATTCTTTCGTATAATCGTTCGAAAAATCGCAGAACCCGCTCTCGTTGCGATCTTAACCTTTAACGGTTGGCTGCGTTAATGTGGTTTAGCGCTAACCCCGATTAACCTCCTTAGTCGAACACATGCCGGACTTCTATTTTTGCTAATAAAAAAAAAAGAGAGCAATTGGATTTATTTATATTTTCAACATGTCTGCGAAAGAATTTCATATTCTCATGTATATTTTATGATCATTATTTTATGAATTGTTTAAAAATATTTTTATAAATATTTTAAATTAAATATTCCAGCGAACGTCGTTTGCGTTTATACAAGAAGAAAGGTTTAGATAAACGTTACGTCACTTTTTTGTCTCTGTTTACATTAAACCGATATTTAAGCTAGAAAGAGATATGGCAAATTACTAAGGCAAATTTAGATAGCCAAGATAATCGTTCCAAATTAATCTGAATATTATTCTCGATTTTGCTTTTGCAAAGCTCTATGGAAATAAAATTTATGTCCCTTACAGTAATTTAAAGCTGGTCTCTCTTCCGTTTCTGAATCTCGTTTTAGCTGGACTTCGTTACAAACACCAATTATAGAATATATCGGCGAAAAATATTGCCCGGAGATTATTATTTATAGCCTATAACATTCTGAGTGGGTGTCGCAATTATGCTGCGATTGCAATTATACATTCCAGGAACTTTTGCGCCACTCGAGCAGACAATGATGGCCGGCAAAATTCAATTGCGCTTTAAAAAAGAAAAAAATTTTAAATGAAGAAATAGATATCGCTTTTTAAACCATTTGGTCTTACTTATGGCACCGTAATAGTGTCCTAATGATCCTGAATTTAAAAAAAAAAACGATGTAATTTACGCATCAATAATTACGCGCTTTCTCAGAAATAATGCAGAATAATATTTATTTAAAATAAATATTTTTTTCAATATCTTAATTAAAAGTCAACTAATTATATTGACTCTCTAGTAAAAACTGAAAAGTATAAAAGCTAATATTTTCGAACAGAGAATATAATAAATATAAAATTAAAGAATTAACTTTATTTACGTATTGATTGCGAAAAATCAATCTGCCAAGCTTCAAGGTATCGAGTTACTCAATATCTGTAATGAATAACGAACTGCCTTTTCCGATCCCTTCCCTTTAATTTTTTTCTTGGTCTAATTGATTTCAATTGAATATATATATGTACATTTTACGCAATGATTTATAAGAACATTTTTATCTTTCAATTTATCGTTATTAACAATAAGAACACCGAGATTTAAAATATTCGGAAATATTAAATCACAGTTTTATAATACAAAGCAGATTTTAACTTTTCACAATATTTTTCGATTTTTGTTTCATACTTTATCATAACTATAAACACGTTACAATGAATCTGTATATATTCCTTTTGTAGAAGTTTCGCCTGTAGCACAATAGCAAACTTTTCAAGCTTGCTTTTATATAATATTTCTATATAGAAGTTTTCTTTTATAATATTTATATAAAAGAAATGCGCTTCTTTATAATAAATCTAGCCAAAAAAAATCTCGTTGAATTAAAAAAAAAATGAAAAAAACATTCTTTCATCTATTATATAACGGAAGGATTAATGAAAAATATAATGCATGTGAGCTCTTATCGGATTTGAAGAAATTCAATGGAAAAAACGCCTGAAATATTTCGAAAGAATACATTTCTTACAAAGATGTATATCTTATACTTTGAAACTAAATACAATAACAAATAAACGATAGAGAGATTTTAAAACTTCGTACAATAAAAGAAAATATGTATGTAAACAAAAAAAGATATATATATTTATTTATTTATATTACAAAATAATAAATATTTTGTTTTATCTCTTCAAATATGTATACTTTAACTAAAATCTTAACTAAATACTTTAAAATCAAAATAAGATTATAAAATTACTTTTCTATTATACAAGAAACATAATACAACTAAAATGTCATTTTGGATATATATTCAATTTTATGTGAGATTTATTCAAAGATTACCGATATGAAACGTTTGTATTGTATATATAATGATCAATTAATGAGCTTCATAAATCGGAGATTGCCAGACTCGATAGGCGGTTATTATTTAGTATTAATACCTCTGTCATTATTAATGCTTGCAGGCAGAGAATTGCATCGCGACGTACGAGCCGCACGCGTACTGCGTTGTTTATTCTACAACTGATCGCGCGTCAGTGCGCGTCGCCGAAGAGGTTCTCCAATCTTTATGGAGGAGCGATCACATGTCCGCGAGGGCGGTCATTCTCGTAGGGAACAAGGTCGACCTGGTTCGCAGTCGACTGGTATCGACCGAAGGTACGGCATTTTTTCTCAGTCTGACCCCGATAATCGACGTTCCCCTCGCGACATCGTTTGTTCGGATGGTTTGCGAGGACACGCGAGAATGGAAATTCGTACGTGTATTCAACAAACGAGGAGTCTATCTATCATTGAGGTGGCATTTAACGTGAAACGCTGATAAGGCGATCGCAGATAACGCAATGTATGTATCTAAATGTACCGACGCAGCATCTTGCTATGCCTTGATGCAAATTCTCTGAGGGTAGCGGAGCGAAGGAAAGCCATTTAAACCCTCTGGCGAACGCGTCGGTGCATAAAATATATCGTTTCTGTACGATTAAACATGTTTAAATTAGCATCTTCCTCGTAATTAAGCTTTATTTCTATAATAAATCATAATTTATTATATATTGTTATATTATATATACATATATATTGTACACATTTATATTTATATATGCAATTTATATTTGCAAAAGAAAGAGAGAGAAGAATAGTCGAGAATTAGCATTCATCCTCTTTAACTTTGTAATAAATGATTTCAATGAAACGTGACACTAATTGTATACGTGGCTTATCTCTCCTTGAACATTTTCTCCCAAAATTGGAGTCTTATATTTAGTTATGTTAGAAATAATTTACTGAACATGTATTGGAAAAATAATGAAAATAATTCTCGCTCTCTTTAATTGATCTTAAAGCCACATATACTATATTACAAGGTAGGGCTACTGTCATACAAATTCATGTTTTAATTTTTTAGAAAGTATATAATATAGTACATAATATTCTGGAGATAAACTATATTAGAGATTACGTTGATATTTTGATTCAATATATTTATACCTATTCGAAAATGATAAGAATGCACGATAACTCTGAAGGATTTTTTACGTACTAATTAAAAATTGAGATAAATCGCGCGCCCGTAAAATTTTCGGAGTGCGCGATGTCATCTCGAATTAATCGATTCTGCCGTTACAGAGGGTAAATCCATGGCGACGTCTTACGATTGCAAGTTCATCGAGACATCCGTCGGCATCAATCATAACGTCGACGAGCTGCTAGTCGGCCTGCTCACGCAAATTCGTCTGAAGCTAGAGAACCCCGAGAGGACCAGAGAAATGTTTCGGAAAAGATCACGGAAAAATCGCAGCAAGTCTCCGCTGGGTTCGTGTTCGGAGAACAACTCGCCTAAAAAGTACCGCGGCAGTCGGACCAGCACCAGCCTGAAAGTGCGCAATTTGATCGACAAAGTCTGGGCACGCGATAGCAAGTCGAAAAGTTGCGAGAATCTTCACGTTCTATAAAACTCGAGGATCGATCGCTTCGATTCAGAAGAATAATCTAGCAAGTCTGGCGAGTTGCAACAGACTTCCATTGAAACGTCTTACGCTTCGAAATTGTCTTCGAGTACGAGGGGGGTCAACGAGGCCGATCCTTGACGAAGAAGAGGACAAGTATTGACCGCTCGATATTCCCGACTTCGCGGGAGAAGAGGAGACACGTGCGTATCGCTTTGTAGCGACCTTTCCGGCCGCGTTTCACGACGTCGTATGTTGTGAGCCCTCTGTGGATGAGGTAAACTTTTGTTGCTTCTGTGAGACGAAGCACGTGCAGAATCCGATTATTGAAATGACTAATCTAGAAAAACAATTTTTATTTTCTTCTCATGACTTTAAGAGTATTAACAGGAAATCCCGATTAGGATATTTTATTTTGTATTATATCGTGACATTTCCATTACGTCCTAAATACGCGCTGAAAACTACACCCGTCAACTTAGATTTTCTTTCATTTTTGTGATTTAATCAGATTTTTGAAGGAAATTGATCTCTCTCTTTCTCTCTCTCTCTTTCTCTCTTTTATTGAACTTTTCACAGCTGTTATAAACTCCAAGCGCCAGTGAGAAAACGCCCCTAATACCGAAGTCTGGTAAGTGTACAATTTTTGTGATTACCGTAAAATGTAAATATAGGCCACAGGGGATTGTGTTCTAAGCGCATATTCTGCGGGAGCGTCATTACCGCGAAGAGTACGTTCGCGAAAGAGAAAGTCGTAAAATAAAATACCCGTAAAGTAAAGTGAAAGGCGACACCGAAGGCAGCAATCATCGTAGATTACTACGGACGGATTCGTTATCGGTCGCGCATAACCCCGAGATTATTACGGGAAGGAAATCGCATCGATTCTTATCGCGTCCGCTCGACGGAACGCCATAATCGATGATGGTTTTCTTTGTCGCAGCGTAAATGCAAGCGACAAAGAAGCTGTGCAATATAAGAAAAATTCGCTAACAATAAGTAAAGGTACGCTGGTACGGCATTGCTTTGCACTGCTTGCACATTTACAAAACTCGACAGAAGTCGCCGATTGTGTTAGCAATGGTTTGTTGACCTTTTCGCGCTCAACAATCTTGACTGAAATCCGATGTAGACAAATTCCGGAATAGATAGCAATACGGATAGAGAGATAGCTTCCCATTGCGGTTCCTTATCTATCGCCGTAGCAGTGATTCTCAAATCTTTTTCGCTGATAATACGGCGATATTGCGCGAGTAATCACACATTCAACTTTTAAATTGAAGAACAATTCAAAGCACAGAAAAAATTTACTCTTAGATTAAACTAAAGAAGAAGAAATAAAAGACTTAATAATGAATCGGAAATTTGAAATTTAGAAAATATGAAACGTACGCTTTTTATTATTAAGTCTATCGCGCTACTTTGTTATGTTAATATAATTTAATTATAATAAAATTTGCGCACTAATTATCGCGCTGGCTCTTAATTGCCTTCCCTCACCTTCGTATGTTAAAAGATATGGTTTTAATTTCTTTTGCAAAAATAGAGACATCCTGCATTGACTTGCCAAACTATATATTTTAAATCTCAAATTTCCGATCTATCTCTTATTTCTTCTTTTTTAATTTAATTTAAAAGTAGATTTTCTTTGCTTTGATATATAACTTTGAATTGTTCTTTAATTTAAAAGTTGAACGTGTCGTGACTCCTCGCGCAATATCACCGTGAATATATGAGTCTATATAATCTTACGCTTTTTTATTGCTGGAATGCATAAAAAAATTCTTATCTATACATTTAATTTATTATGTTTTTAATCTATGTTGTAGCATATTGGAGAGAGAATAAAAAATATAATAGATATTTCATTTTTATATCTTTTAAATACTATACGTAAGGTTTGTAAATCTCCTGCATATTTACAATTTTGTAGTATAATCTATAAGAATTACTACAATGTACAATATAGTTGCGTAGTTAATAGAATGCTGTAGTTGAATATTGAAATTATTGCTCTCTATTTGAATTTATTAGAGAGAAACATTAGCAATTATATTTTAAACTTTCTCACAATTTTAGCAGTTATTTTTAAAATTTTTATTCTATTCTATTTAAAAAGATACGATCATTTATTTCGGAATAATTCTATTTTATATTTATTGTATTGCAAGCTATTTTTTACTTATTGTTAGTTCAAGATATTGAAGTACCTCTTACAATTCTTCTTTATCGGTTAACGACCGGCACAGCTTTAAAGGAAAATTGAGCATATCTCTGATCATCGTGTATTTGGGTCAAAGGAATTAGCATATATAAGATAAAACGAATCCAATTCTAACCAGAGTTACAGATCCGCAAAGATTTGCTTCTAATAAAGGTCATAAATCGTTATCAAGGCAATTTAAGGGATGAGATCAAACGCAACGATTAATATAAACGTTGATCTATATGTCATATAGCCGGAAATCTTTTAGTCTTTTGACAAATCCGGCGAATGAGAATATCTTATATTTAATAACAAATATGAGCGCAAGATTCGTTATTTGAAAAAATTGATTTCGCATCAAAAACGCGTTCTTTTATTATATTTTCATAACGTAAGGATTTAAATCTCACGATATATCATTTTCTCGGTATATTAAGTGATCGATCGCGAGATGCGAAAATGCTCTGTCGGATATGGTTGAACGATGCAACGTTTACGCATCGTGAAATACGCGAAAGATAAGGTCCGCCCGACCACACATCGCGATTGCCGTTCCCTGAATTAAAGAGTCCTGATATCAGCAAAAAATACAAAAGTAACACGACGACGTCAGCTGGCGAATCGAATTTGCCGCCGCAAAAGGTCGTCTCTTGCGACAAGCAATTAATTTCCTAACGATCTCGATGCTCGGTCGACCGATTCACCTCGGAACTCACTGCGCGGAACGTTAGCGCAGGAAAAGTTCGCCCTACGTTGAATATGTGTTCGCGAACCGGATTCGAAAACGAGAAATCTTCCAACGGAAGACTCACACGGATATCATCAGTTCCATTAGCGTCGCGTGTGTATGTGAATGACGGCTCGTATGAGAGATGTTAAATTTCGAACCACCGATATACATTACATAAGACATATTTAAGATGGCGAATTTTTTCTCAATTTCAGAAATTTCAGATTTTCACACTTATTTTTTCTCTATTACACATCTTAAATTTACATTATATGAAAAAATTAAACTTCAGAGACCGTAAAAGTTTAAATTCATTAGATAAAGATAAGATCGCGTGATTGATATTACAGCTTGTGTGTTATATAAAAAAATAAAAGATTTGATATTATATAATTGAAACGAGACACTGATATTTTGACAGATAAAAAAAGATATAAAAAATTGTTAATTAATTTTTCTGTTTTATGACTGATACCTATGGTTCAGGCAAATATACGCAATGTGAAAAACAACCTGCGAAATAGTACAGTTATTACTTTTTTCTGCATTTCGCGTAAATCCTCTGGCGTCGTTGCCCACTTTAATTAGCTAAATTACACGAAGATATAAGGCGCGCCTAGTCACCGAGCTGCATATATGTCGCATGTCACGTAATCCGTTACGTTGAAATTCTCGCAACTGCATGATTATGCTCCATTTTACAATCTTGTGACTACTCGATCTCTACGTGTGTTGTGTGTATGTATGTGTGCGCTCCCTTCAGCTCTTTCCATTTACAGTATATTATTCTGAATTCGATTTCTTTCTACCCTTATCCTTGTTTCTCTCTTTGCCTCTCCTTTTCTCCGAGCGCTTTAATTCTATGCACGTAGACATACGCGTACGCTAACACAACACAAAAGCTTAAAACTTCTACTGAAAATGACTAGCAGAAAAATGTTTACAAAAGAATACAACGGAATAAAATCATTGGATTGGCTTGACGTCGCAGGTTTATTATGAGAGAGAAATCAAGTGGCACATCGTGTTCAGAAATATAATTTCGATTTAGATTGTTTTTCTTATAAAACATAACTTGAATTGTTATTGCGATATGGAAAACAATGGATTTTTGGTATCTATGGAGTAAATTTGTTACGTGTTATATCTTTCTATACTTCTATTGGATTTTTAGCTTTTATAAATTTTATTTTTGTACTGCATAGTTTGTTACTCTACGAATGATAAAATGTGCAATATAAAACGAAACATATTTTTTTAACATATTTTTTCACATCGCTATTCTCCACATTAAATATATACCTAATATCTCTTTAATGATAATATTTTTTTTGCGATAACTAAATGCAATTACGACTACTGGAAATTATTACATACTTTTATATCGTGCATATACGCATCACAGTTCAGAAATAACAAACTATTAATGGACGTAACGAAAACGCCTGGAAAAATAAACTTTATAATACAAATAATTATAATATAAATATAATGCAAAAAATCATGATATAATGAAAAAAGTTTTGAAAAAACAATTTTGTATGTTTCTGATTAAGCGTATTAGAACACTGTGGAAAGTTTTAATATTGCTTCTCTTTGTAATATCAAAAACGATTATATAAACATGTTTAGATAATAGGTAATATAGCATTATCTAAATTTATTAAATTTATTTACAGCATTTAATTATCTAATTATCACAATCACAAAATATGTAGAGATGATGTTAAGAATTTATGTAATATATTTTTCTCTCTTCTCTTCATTACTTACTTGTATTCATCATGCATTACTTGCTGGTATTATAGTTTGATATCATTATTTAAAATATTCAGATTTATATTTGTATTAATTAAATTTTAATATATTTTCGAAACTTTCTTTATAAAATTTTTTTGTTTGTTTGTGTAAGTGATTAAGAAGAAAGATCAAATTTAACCGAATAAAAGTGGATGGAAAGTGTACCTTTCCGTAAAGGATACTTCTACAGATTTCTTATAGAAAAACGAAGAATGCGAAATTCTAAAGTGCATCCCGAGAGATCACCACGCATTACCAAATTGAAAACTATTATTATCAGTTATACTTATTCTTGAAAAAGCGACCTGAATATTTGTGGGCAGCAGTTGCGAGAAATTCGGACGTTACAAACTTCTACTCCATTTTCCAGCTTGACCGCTACGAAATTATGGCGCCGAAAATAGAAACTTTTCACAATAGCATATTTTCGATGCAATACAAGATAATTATGTCAAATTATATATATAGATGTTTATTCAAAATACGATATTGCAGAAATTTTCCATTAAAAACTTCTTTTGAGCGCGCGCGATACCATCTTTTAAATACCGCAAACGATAAAATTATTTCAAGCTGATGAATGTAAACGTAAAATAAAAATTAACAGTTCATTGTTGTCATACCTAACATTGAACTTAAACATTTCTCGTATTCCAAGTACGACATTGCAAAAACAACTTTTTCGAAATAATTCTAATTCAACTAGATCCGAACAATTATGAAAGTCGGTCGACTGATAATCGAAAAAGAAAATCATGTTCATGTCGCTATCGACACCGGGGAATTTGGGGCCAATTTGTCGATCGTCTTTATTCTCTCACTAATTGGCAGACGATCGTTTGTAACTTTTGACACGTGAAACTCGCGGATAACTTTCTTGTTTCTGGCTAGCTAGACACGCAATTTCTGCGGTATTATTTTGAACTAAGCACGAAGTTGCGCGTTTCTCATTCAATATATATTAACATGTAGATTAACAGTTGGTGACATGCTTGTAAAAACGGTCGGAACATCATTTATTTAAATAGGGAAATAAAGTTTATTAAATAAATAGCATAATCTTCTCTCTCTCTCTCTTTCTTTCTCTCTTTCTCGATATTATTCATTTTTTTAATTTTGGAAATTGATTGGCTTTTAGATGTCTTCCATTGAATATCAGTTATTGAAAAACAGATATATACCGTAATTCAAGAATATTTATAGTATGTTATAATAAAATTATTAAATATTATCTTCGATAAAAATATCGAAAAAAACATGAACCGAATGATGATAAAAGTTTAGATTCATACTTAAAAGGCTCTCTTGTTAAAAGAATCGTGAACTTTAGAGTCTTCTTCGATGGCGGGGTGTGATAATGCACCTTTACCGGCTTCTCAGCAATTTAACAGCCACGGCGATATCAAGTAAGGTGCGCGTGGCTAGCTTAAGGTGGGTTAATAATTTAATACGAGCGCGTTATCTCGCGTGACTCGAGCAAAGTTCATAATAGCGTAATATATCGCTCGTAGTATCGCGCTCGGATCTTCTTCTAGAATAGTCGTCGTAGTTAAAAGACTCGATGATACTCTTATATTCGTTTTCCTGCTCCATTCGCTCATCAATATCAGAGAGAATTCAAGAGAGTGGCGATCAATTAAACCGGTTCCTCATAATTTAGCCACAGTGGCTAGTTTTATCTTTGCAATGAGATCTTTTTATCTCGTAGTCGCGTAATAATCGTAATTAATATTCTTAATTATATTTATAATCGCAATCTCTCGCGGGAATTCATTACTAATCGGATCGTTGCCGGGCGTTCATCACGCATCGTGCAACATCGTTCAACGACATGTTTTTTTTCCCAATGACACATCTTTTATCGGAAAAAGAATGCAAAGCACAATAACCATCAAACAAAAAATATTTATCGCAAATATTGTCACGAAAAGGTAGTCAAAATATCCAAAATTATATTTCAAGCACAGAAGAAACACTGTCGAAAATATGGTTTAAAACGCCAATTGCTCTCTGGGCAATTTAAAGCGGTATAAAATAGAAGATACTATTTTATATTTTTAAAATCAAATATTTATGTCAAAGACACATTTGAAAGATTACATTACGATGCAAAGTATCTTTTCTACATTATTATGATTAAAACAGAGAGAGAGAGAGAGAAAGATAAATATTTTAGAGTCTGCGTTTTAAACGTTCATGCGTATGTACATATATATAAGAATATATATTCTTTACTTTGCGTTTTTTTATCTCACTCGTTTAAAAATGCAAATATGAGGATTTTACACATGGTGAGGATTTCCGACTGACGTAGCACGTCGCACGTCGGAATTTGTTCAATCGCGCGCTGACCTTAATTCCTTAATGCCAGTATCTTTTTGCCAAGATACAAAGAGAAATAAACGATCAATATAAATTACTCTTCATCGATTAACAGGGATAAGCTATATCAAGAAGCTTATCCGAATACGTTAACTAATCGTGTTGGATTTGAATTGGGGCGTCATGAGAATGATTGGATCGAGATATTGATTCATTGATCTTTGATAAAATCCTAGCGACTGACACTAAATTTAGAGATGTACGTCCTTACAAAGTTTACATTCGCAATTTATGTACGCGCGTCAAAATTTACGATGACAAATTGTTTATCTCGCATCTAAACTCGTAGCTCGATTTTATCCTGCCAGATTAAAGGTAAAGTACTCAAATAGAGTTTCTTGATCGCGAGATCTTTGCTCCGACTAATGGGGATTAAAATACGTTGAAACAAATACAATATTCCCGATGAATTTAATTTTCGATGTAGTATGCAGTCGAGTAAAATGATTTCCGTATTTACGCGCGATAATGGAAACGCGATAGTTGATGCGAGAAGTATTTTGCCGCGGGCACGAGAAGCTAATTATTCGTCAAAGTAACATCGGTTTCAATTTCTACCCGCTAGCGATATATTAACATGCTTACGTGTAGTGTGCGTACAATTTACGATTGACACACGATAGCTCGTTAGCGAACTCCGATTGTCTATTTAGGACGTACGTACATCTCTCTCTCTCTCTCTCTCTCTCTTGTTCTCTTTCTCTCTCTCTCTCTCTCTCTCTCTCATTTTCTCTCTTGCAGAGCAGAGAAGAGAATTGTGGCATATTGCCCAAAACTATTGATTGCCATTTGCCATTGGGATATCGTCGTGTATTAAGAGACGGTGAGTGGATCAAATAGCACGTACACCTTATTAATTCGAAGCCCCGCGCACGAGAACGACGCATACATACACGCGATACACACTTATTTTTATAAAATGCGAGGGAACTCGTACGATATATACATATACATTTCCTTCCTACGCTACGTCGCGTTATCTTGATGTCTGTTCACGTTTATTCGCATCGTAAATGCGTTTTTATATTTGGTTTTGCATAGTCGAGTTTATTTTCGCCTGACCTGCGATTTGTCGTACTTTTCCGTGACGAACGAACGATAAGTCGCGTTTCTCAACCAGATAAAACGGGAATATAATCGCGACTCGATTGAGAGAAAAGTTCGCATTTGCCGTTAATTTAAAATTTTCCAATCGAATTACGATTGCTTATACGCAAAGCGTTGCGTTCGCGAATGTGTTACTCTTTTATTTTTATATTTTTTTTTTTTTTTTTGTACGGTAACTTGGAATAATTGCCGGCACAAATTCAACTAAATTAGATCATAAATCTACGAAAAAAATCGAGTAACGTGATATAAATTCCTAACCAAAGCATGTAGTTAAATCAATTTCCACTTATGAAACTTATTATATAATTCGATAGAACGGTATAAATTTTTGGGACTATGAAGTCAATGTGCAGATTCGAAACGAGAGAAGCATACATTTGGGGAGATTTGCTATTGGAATAAATTTCAAAGCACGGATTCGCGGGATTTTGCATAATAATTCACGACTGCATGGATCGATGCTTTTAAGCGTATTTTGTTTCGACACCGGATTTCGTCAATGCTATCACTAATTTTAATAGGAAATGCATCAATGGTGTCGCAACTACCGACCTGGTCATTAATCGATATCAGCGTTAAGCCCGACACAGCTTAACATTTAATGTCGGCGTTATTTTAAGTAGCTTTGAAGGATAGCCGTTCTTGCCATCGAGCTGATATGTTTATACTAAGCTGTGTATTAAACGAGATATGCGAGTGTGCCGGAATGTAATGAAATATTCGCGATAAATTATCGAATGCAATGGCTGTCTAACATTTGCTATAATATTGCATTGATGAGAAAATTACAATAATGTGAAGCAATAATAGAATATAGCGTATGAGAATTTACGAGATGGCGTTTAAGCGGGAAAAAAGGGATCGGTGTAATAAAGAAGATAATTAAAGAGCATATATGAGTGAAGCGCTGAAGCGATTCAGCGAATACGACGAAAATTCGTTAAATGCGTGTCGCTCGATTCCCCAACGGCGATTTATTATCTACGTGATATTATGGGTGCTTTGGGGTGGGAACGTGCGTTGCATATCACTGCGAAATATGCGAGAGATTTTGAATCTTACTCTCAATATGGTTAATTAAGTAAAAAAAGTTGGTTTAATAAGAGAAAAGTTTTAAAAAAAAAAGATCATGTAAATTTCTTTTTAAATTAATTTACGATAAGACAATATATATTGATGCATAGTAAAAAGCGAAGAAATTTTGAAATAATTTCTACTTGAGCACTCGAGCAAATTGTGAGGAACCTTAATATTAATAGAGGTGCTAGATATGTAGAAATATTCAAATACGTTTCTTTTTTAATATTTTCTGGAGAATTGAGGAGAATTAAATCCTCTTATTAACGACCGCGAAGAAGGGAAAATCGCACTTTTGTGAAAATGCGCGATAATGAGACCACGGTGCGCGGGGCTTTATAAATATATAAGTAGAGCACGTTTTAACGAAGTAAGCGATTAGTCAAGTAATATGTCCAAAATGCGCATGACTGATTGTTAAAAGTCGACCTTGGGCACACGCTAGGATATCACTTGAGATATGCCAATTCGCCAAGAGATATTTACGCGACCGTCGTCGTTAAATTGCCAGTGATTACGGGATCAGCGATGCTCATTGTATCAACATACCTGCACGCGTGTAAACACGTAACTTTAGTTGCATCGTTATCGCGTAACGATGTACGATAAGCTATCGAAAAATTTCAATGAGAGTTTTTTTGATGAAAGCGGGCTGAATCACTCTGAAGACAATTAAGGGACTTAGGAAAAAAATATGGTACTGATGAAAAAGATGATACTGGTGAAAAATATAAATAAGGGTATATATTAATGTACGAATTAGATATACCTAAAATTATTTTATTGGGTCTTTTTACAATTGCGCAATTTCAAAATTTCAAAATTATTTATGAGGATATACTATATATATTTAATAGCGCAAATATTTATAATTATGATTATATATTTTTTTTTCTTTATTTTCTTCTGTATTAATGTAAAGACAAAGACCTATAATGCGCAGAAACTAATTTCTTTTGTTTAAATCAATTTATTTTTAAGCCTCGCAGTGATTCAACTCGTTTCAATCAAGAGTGCTGAACAATATTTTGTATGAGAATACATGAGCATGATAAAATATGTCATCCCGAAATCATCTTCAGTCGGTGTTGTATGAATTTTAATGAAGATTTAATAAGAAGAAATGTAATGAATGTTTTATAAAAGGCCCGATTGCCTTGTAAATTTTAAATAAAAAGAATTCTTAAACTCGTAAGAATCCGTAGGAGAAACAATAATCAAGAATAATCCTCATTGTTTGATTCTTGTTCTATTATTCTCTATTAATTAAAGATTATAGATAGTGCTAAATGATTGCAATTTTAACTTAAAATGTGTCGGTATAAATGACGATTATAAAAGTGAGATTATAAATGAAGAAAAGGGGTTTTCGTCGTATAAAGTTGAGCATGAAAGAGTATCAATTTCAAAATAATAAATCAATTTTTATGCCATTAATGATATTAATATTATTATAATTGATGGAAACATATGAGAAATACCATCTTAATATTCGTAAAAATATATTTGGCGGCGAGGAACAGGGATAAAAAAATGATGCGTTTGGGAAATAAAGCACTTAACAAGGTAATCGTAAACGATGATTTTCCGTCCATCTTGAAACGCACGATTTTAATGAAGACGATCGCAATGCGGACGATCACATTTTCGCGAAATTGTGCACGAGCATTGTATGTGTGCGTACTCGATGTATCCTTTTTATCGACTTCTCCATCAGAGGATATCCCGGCAAAGTGCTGCGTATCAAGGTACGACGACAAAAAATATAATTGCCACGCATGATGGCCCTTGCATCGCGATATCGTTTCGCATGGCTTTTTATTTCGGGAAATAAATATTTTACGTACGTAGGACGATGATGTTTTATCAATTAAACGCAAATATCTTTCTAATTTTGCTTATAATTTTATACACACTGAATCAACTAATTATACAATCAAAAATAACTTTTCTAATTTTTGCTACTATAATATTAATAATATTATTAATATTATTAATATAAGCATTCTTTTTGAAAAGATATAATAATTATTGAATAATTTTAATTCAGTAAAAATAATAGAGAAATTATTTAAAACAATAAAGAAATGATTTATTTTATATATAACCCACGATTCTATATAGTCTAATATTATAGTTACTTTTTTATATGTTACTTCCATCGAGTAATATCATTTAAAGTTATCTTATGATTTATATATTCATATTTTGTGAAATAAAGCAACGAATGTAGCGAATATTTCTCATTAAATTGAAAACTTTATATAACAATTTCATAATAAATTAATATTTTATGATAATCTAGTTTGAAAGGGTTAATATAAATCTGTTACGATTGCATTAACTATAATGGATTTTCAATACTATGGCTAGCTAAAATTTAATATTAGCTAAATATATTTTTAATTTTATGCATGTATGCGTGTTTCTTTTTCTTTAAATATTATATAATCATAAAATAATACTCTATAGACATTAATTACATTTTATACAACAAAGACTTTCACTAATTGAAATTATAAAGAATTACTATGTGTGTGTGTATAATCAGAATGGAATAAATATTATAATTATTCGTAATAAATGTAAACACCGTCAGGTGCTATTTCAATCATACGCATAATTATATTTATAGCTGTCAGTAATTACGTATAATTATCATAATTATCATCGTCCTCGTTCTGCATGAATAATCGGAAATTTACGTCCATAAAATCCGCTCGATTCGCTTTCGGGCGGAGTCGGAGATAACATCGTAGCCGATAGGGGACGATTGAAGACGCAAGGGACGTCTCGTGCACGAATTACCTATAGATTTAGGTTTAGGACGCTGATTGCCAGGTACGTGCCTTATGTCAATCCAAAATGCCACGAAGACAAGCTGGTATATATTTGACGCGTACCTGAGCACTGACGAATACATTGCGGACCATAGCCTAGCGATTAGGCGATTTCACACAAATCGATGTTATATATCCGTACCTGTATATGTAAGTGAAGTAAAAAGAAAAAGAAAAAAAATAACAATGCGACACCAGCCTCAGAGTCGGCCGAGAATTTTCTTGTCTCTTTCTATGAATGTATCGTACTTATACCAATATTCCGACAACACATAGTGATTAACTAATATAATACCGATCAAAAGTGGGAAAACGGCGTCGGCATTCTGTCGTTTTTCGCTTAAGGCAATGATTTCCAAAGTTCCACATTTTTATTCCTTCGTAAAAAAAAAATTAAAAAGTTCGTGAATTTTCTACGGATTTTCCACGAATTTTTCTATTTACGCGAACAATCTCACTTTCTCTTTTTCATGAAATAACTTACGCAAATACTTATCATAGTACTTTTTTTATACTCTACACGACTAGTCGTTGCTATCCGAGAGTATTTCCCTATGGCTTTTGCCCCTGGGAAGCAAAATACCGCTTTTTGGAAAATGCTGACTTAAAACGACTTTTAGACGTGCGGTTAAAAGGGACTGTTTCGTGTCGGAAAGTTTTTGGGATCGATAAACCATTGACACGCCGTCCCTATCATTCCCGTGATTTACTTTTGAAAACGATTCGTGGACATATTGCCTTGTCGTATGTTAATGATAAATACGTGAGAAAAGTTCTGGGCGTACATAATAAAACAAATTATAAAAGTGGCGAACATCACGATCAATTATAATATTGTACGAATGAAATCGTCGATAGAATTTGCGAGCGAATTGATAAATGTTCAAATATCATGAAATACTTAATTAATGTTCACACTTATTTAATGTTCAATGTTTACCATGCAGTGTAATTTATATGTAATATGTAAAAAGAATTTACATAGAGGAAATCAAAAGTAGTATATAGTATATCATATAAAGAAGAGCATAATTTTTTGTTTGTTATAGAATTCAAGAGAAAATATTGAAATATCTAAAAATGTATATCTCTTTTATACTCTATTAAAACATTTCAAATTATTATTTTATAAAAACTGATATTTTTTATGGTTTTATAAATCTATTACAAGATTTTTTTCCACAAAATAGAATTTTTTTGTTTTAACTAAAGAAATTTTATATACACATATTAATATCTAAGTTTATTATTATTAATTTTAAAAAATTCCTAAGCTGCATTTAAATACATATGCTCTTAATTATTTTTGTGCATTAAAATTATTTTTGGATGAATTAAAATTTTTCTTTTTGCCTATATGCGTCATGTCCATTTTAGGTGTAACTTTCTATAACTTACCATCTTCTCGTTCTCTCATATACATCCAGTCGAGATGTCCACGAATCGGACGCATCCGGAAGCTCTGTTGAAACCTATCGTCCTTTCTGTCTTCGATGTTAAAACGATGAATCGAATTCGAAGCCTGCAAACAACAAGCGCATTTACAAAATATTGCATGAAGAAACGATTATTCGTTCGGCAATAGAAATGAAAAAAGAAATTATTCCGACAATGCTCGGTTATTGCATATTTTACCGAATATTTGAGAGAAACGCGGAAGGTTTAATATGCGGATACACCAAGTGGAGGACGTCCACGTGATTCCATTGACGACAAGAAATAATTCGACGTATTAGTTTCTTACGATGTTTTTATCCCGTGTATTATATAGAGATCTTTATATATATACATATATACATATACATATATATATACATATATATCGTACCCGCGGCATCGTCGACACTCGATCGTAGAAACGATCGTGAAGTGTCCATACACACACACACACACACACACACACATCCAAACTTTCACATGCACGAGATACATCCCCTATTATAGCGTGTAACGTAACATATATTTATGTGAATTTTGTCATTTTATTAAGAACACAAACGTATATATTATATATATATATATTTGCCGTATAAAATTAAAACTTATTATAATACTGCAAACAGTATAATTCCAGCGCTTGGCGTTTTATTTCACGAGATACCAAACTTTTTCAGATTATCACGATCCAGTAAAAGATGTAACTGTAAAATGTAACCAATAAAGAATTTTGCCTAATATATTCGGGAGCAGTTTTCTCACCAAACATTAATTATAATCGATTTTTGCGACATTTCAATAGCGCTCCTTAATTTACATTCTAAAAAAAAAACAAATAAAAAATTCCAAGACTCGATTGTTGATAACATCACAATGATAGGCATGCACTGACTCAGATTTAGTTATAAAAAATATCATTTTCATATACTATAGAATAATTATAAAAATTTATGAAGACGATATAATAAATAGATAAAAAATGTTGTTGTAATTCGAGAAAAATATTATTTACAGATATGAAATTTAACAGAATAGTTTGCTAATATAATACTATAAAAGTCTGATTTTCAGTAATAAGATAAATAATATTGACTCAGCTATGTATAAGTAGTTATGAAACGAAGATACATATACACACCTGATTTCGCTGCATTTCGGCGAGAAGATAACGGTACGATACGTGCAACCGAAATGATACTGAAATCTTGATATCGGCGTATATCGCGGTTATACGTACATGATATTTACTACATTACGACGAACGGCCGATATTTGACGAGACACACTCGCGATAATTTTTCGCGAAGTTTAGTTTTAAATAGCAACAATAACGCGAGATGTACTGACAATGAGCGATTCGAATGCGACTCCTTCATTTGCGACACGTTCAGCGAATGACCGCGAAATCTATCGGGAAATCTTTTGCGATTTTCAAAATATCAAAGGAGTGAAGTCATCGCAATAATTAGACAAGTTCGTGTAGTTGCACTTTTTCGCATTTAATATAAAAAGAATACATATATATATTTAATCTTTCCGAGAGAGAAAAGAAAATAAATACACGAAGTGCAATTAAATAAAACTATATTATTTAAAATATATGTAAAATTCGAAATATTTTAATAAACAATCGAAATAATAAATTATTATAAAAACATGTAATTAAATTATTTAGCTACGAATATTGCACCGTAAAATAGTGGCGTATTTTTCTCAAAAAAGGACAGAATAAACTTTTCAAGTTACCTAGGCCAGCAATCTTTACTGTTCTCTCGATGCTTGATGGAATAATGTTGATACGTAATAAATTATGCGTGAAAAAAATAAAAAAAGAACGAGTTTACTCCATGAATACCGTACGCCGTACATTCCCTCAACGGTTTTTCGACGATGGCAGCACCTGTCGAGTGGCACGAATAGAGTGCGTTCAGAAATCCTACGGGCTAAAGCAGCGTTTAATTGACCAATCAGGACAGTTCAATGCTAGTTCCACGAGTAGGATTTTCGAACGCACCTTGATATGCTATACGATGTATTATAAATAAAGAATATAGATATAATTTTAATCAAGTGTGCGCAAATATATTGTTTTCATTAAGTGATCTAAATTTACTATGTAAATTGCGTCCTAATGATGTATTGTTACTCGTAACGGTAAAGGATAATGCTCATCTGTGAGAGTACGAAGTGATGGTTTCTCAACTGATTGATTTATGAATGTAACCAACAAAAACAACACTTCCAGATGCTCTGTATAAGAAACGGGAGAAAGCGCGGTATTTCGTGGCTGTTTAATTTGGTACCGAGAGTTCTCTATTCACGTCGCAGTGACAGAAGTACTAGTATCTCCTTACACAAAGTCGTCAAGTCTAATGGTGATTCCTTGGACGGTGAGTGATCTCTTTATTTCATAATGTTACCAACGAAAAAGCCAACGTCATTGACCTATAAGGTCATATTTAAAATCTGTTTTCTTCAAGGTCCTTATGATCATTAAAAACTTACTTATATAAATCAAGTTATTATTGTCTTATGTCTTTCTAAAACAATAATATTGATCTGCAAAAAAAAAGTATAGATTTTGTACATATTTTTGCAAAAATATATATTAATTGTAATTAAATGCATATTAAAAATTCTTGTACTAAAGAATTATTTGTGCTGGAGTTGATATTAATCACATGAAAAAAATGATACAATAATCTCTAGCTTAATTATATCATAATTGATTATAATTTCTTGCTATCTTAATTGAATCTTATATTTGCTGTGAAATCTTTATATTAAAACTGCTTTTATTAACTGTAGAGTTGCCAATTTTTTTATTTCATATAAGCTATCAAAATTCAAATATATTTCACATTTAAATAGATCTATTAAATAGTATTTGTTATTATGAATGTTTTACAAAAAAAGGAGATATTGACAACAGCGCATGGGATACCAATTCTAATTGGAAATTGTTAACACCGAGAGGCTTTCGATTTTATCTTCCTGGAAGTGTAGGACCTGCTTGGTTAGATGCTAAAACCACTGCCCAAGTTAAGACTTACTTTGACGAGCCATCTAATGAAGAAGAGTTTATAGAATCTTTAAATGATAAAAATGAATATCAAAGAAATAAGGATAACTGGAAAGTCATGCAGCCAATATTGGATTATGTGGCACAG